TAGTAGTAGTAGTAGTAGTAGTAGTAGTAGTAGTAGTAGTAGTAGTAGTAGTAGTAGTAGTAGTAGAAGAATAAGAAGAAAAATAAGAAGAATAATAATAATAATAAGTGGTAGTAGTAGCAGTAGCAGTAGTAGTAGGAGGAGGAGGAGGAAGAGGAGGAGGACGAGGAGGAGGAGTTGAGGAGAAGGCGCAGGAGGAGGAAGAGGAGGAGGAGGAAGAGGAGGAGGATGAGGAGATGGAGGTGGAGGGGGGGGGAGCAGGAGGGGTATGGGGAGGAGGAGGAGGAGGAGGAGGAAGACTAGTGTAAGCCCAAGAGTCATCAACGATGTCGGATTGGACCCTCCTTCCAAGTTCCATCTTCATAGGCCACCACAACGGTTCATTTCCATGGTGGGAACTGCTGCGTTAGAAGGCAACCGTTTGAAGACCTTGGAGCGTGCCAGAGCCTTGTTCTCGGGATTCTCACGCCACGGATCAACCTGACTGCTGTGTCCTGACGATTTGGAATCGTGCCAGAACGTCGTTTTTGGGACTTCGACACCGCGAATCGACATAGCTGTTCCAAAACGCCATTTCTGGTACGATGATGATGGGGACCCGCGAAACGCTAAGGCGAGAGCCACATTTTGAAAACCACCCGCCCTCAACCCGTGAAATTCTTGCAAATGTTGAAAACGAATGTGCGCGGCGCTAAGGCAAGAGCCACATGTTGAAAATCATCCGCCCTCAATCCGTGAAGCTCTGGCCAGGTTCTACCATGAATGTGCACGGCGCTAAGGCGAGAGCCACATTTTGAAAACCACCCGCCCTCAACCCGTGAAATTCTTGCAAATGTTGAAAACGAATGTGCGCGGCGCTAAGGCAAGAGCCACATGTTGAAAATCATCCGCCCTCAATCCGTGAAGCTCTGGCCAGGTTCTACCATGAATGTGCACGGCGCTAAGGCGAGAGCCACATTTTGAAAACCACCCCCCCTCCATTTGTGAAGCAGTTGTTTTTCAAGCTTCAGAGGCATAACTGGTGAGGAAGTCCCAGGCGAAACGCCCGGCCCGCCCTACAAACTGGCCTCGGGGTGCGACAGCGAGAAGCTGTTTCAGAGGGAAAGGAATGGAGGAGGCGGACGAGGAGGAGGAGGAGGAGTAGAAGGAGGAGGAGGAGGAGGAGGCAGCGAGGAGGGCGTCGCGAGCAGGACGACTGGGGTCGACAGCTTCAGGCGATCTCCAAGGGCGGAGATCGTTTTCTCAGGAGGTCTGTGAGGAACGCACAAGGACAGGCTAGTACTATATGTCCTCCTTGGAGGCGTGCGTTCAACCCGAACATCGGACATATCCATCTTGTTGTATATAGTTTCCCGAGAGGTTCGGCCAGACAACGCGCGCTACGGAGCATTCTACAATCAGATGTCTCAGCGCGTGCGCGCGTCGCCTCTTCGGGGGCGACGCTCCCATAGTATTAGCATGTTGAGGTGGCGCCGATGGTTGAATACAGGGTCGACAGCCTCAGAAGGTCTCCGAGGGTGGAGGTCGTCCCGCGTCATCAAGGCAGAAATTTCTCGTACCCCATTCGCGTCTTGTCCGTCCCGTCTTTCGGTGTCCCCCTTCATCCCTTTGCGGCAAGACGTCTCTTTGGTTCCGGCAAGACGGCTCTTTGGCTGCTGGATCAGTTCGCCGTTAGGCTACTCAATAGCAAGCCGTCTCTTTCAATCAAAGGCCCCTTCCTCCCTTCCCCTCGCCTCTACCTCCCCTTGCCGCTACTCGAGGATCGATGACTGCGTGGACGACTTTAACGCTGCCATCCACACCTGCACGCAGGTCGCTAAAATGAGGTGTATGAGGACGAGAACTATGAGGAGCAGGAGGAGGGGAAGGAGAGGGATGACGAGGAGCTGCAGGAGGAGGACGAGGAGGATGAATAGGAGGGTAACGAGGAAGAGGAGGAGGATGAGGAGGAGGAGGAGAAGGCGAAAGGGGGTTATGATGCGAATTGGATGTTTAGCAGGAAGGGGGTGAGAGAGTGCACGACGCCTGGCTCAGGCTCAACGAAAGAGGTCCGACGTGGTGGTCCCCATAGGCTGGAGCTCTCGAGCCGATCCCTTGGGACTGGCTCTTCGTCGCGGTCCTGGGACTCGCCAGCGGCACCCTGGGCCGAAGTCAAACACGTAGCATTTTCTGTTGCGAATGTCTGGGGACACTTGGGCGACGCAAGAACACGGTCCAATTGCGCCGACAATTGTGCGTAAGTTTCCCGCGTACGGTCGCGCGTGAGTTCCTTGGTACCCAATGTAGCGAGCAACGCTGGCGGCCCGCGTAAGACGCGGCGTAGGGTCGCTACGTTGTCTTGCGTAAGACCCGTTTTTGATTGTTGCTTGCTGATGTGCTCCCAATTTAATTCAAACTTGGCCTCTGGACCATTGCTGGGGTGCGTTCTGATTAAGTCTGCAAGACGGACCCAGCCGTGGCGACGATGCCCCCCTGGCAGGTATCGGGGCGAACGACGTCCCAAATCCTTCGATATCTGTGTTTGTTTCTTCTTCTTATTCTTCTTCCTAGATTTAACCTTCTTGATATTCTTGTTCGTAATCATAATGTTGTTAATCACCTTCTGACTTTTCTTCCTCTCCCTTGTTTTGTCAGTTTTGTTATCCTTATTGTTATTGCCCGTATTCTCTTTCTTCTTCTTTTCTTTCGCCTCGTCCTCCATGAATTCCCCGGAAGGACGTTGGAACAATTCAAAACCCAGCGTCACGTCCTCCCTCTCCTCCTCTCCCCTTCCCCCTCTGTCCACCCTCACCCCTCCTCGAGTTTTTGTTTCTCCTGCGAGCAACGGTCGTTACCCGCCCCCCCCCCCGGGTGACGGCAATGATCTTACGTGTGGGGGGTGTTTCTCGGGCGGGGCTAGGACGATGATGAAATTCGTTCCAGAGCACTCCAGAACTCTCAGAGCGTTCCGGAACGCTTTGAGAAGGCGCGCGCCCGAGACATCTTCCAGAGCCGCCAGATCTCAGAAATTCTCGATTTATCCTCACCCGATGTTATCCTCGTCCTGGCTTCGTCTTAGGCTGGACCCCCCCGCATGCTGGTGCCCGAAGGCGTACTGTGCTGCTCGTTCGCGCGCGTACAGTCGGACCGAGGTAAGACCAAGGTCGGTGCGGGGAGGGTACCCTAGGGTTCTTCGTGTTTGTGGGATGTTCTGTGTGCATCCTATGGAGGGTATCCTAGGATGTTCTGTGTGTTTTGGCGGGGATTCATGTTCTTACAGGATGTTCCGACTGTAGCGTTATTTTGTTCGCGCGCAGATTGTGGCCATCGCAGCGTGCCCCCGCCCCGACGTGCCCCAACCCGCCAAAGCGTTACCTCATCATCGTCTGAAACAGCCCCACCCCCGCTGGGGCAGGGTAAGTAAGCTCTCCCATCGTACCCCCTCTATGTTGGGATGGGCGCTCCGAAATCCGAAGGAGACGGTATCCGTCCCCACCTATGGGGGTTAGGTCGCCCAGCGGGCCAAGGTTTCTCCGGTGAGGGTGGGGATTGTTTTCCTTGTCCAGATCATTGTTACCCCCCACGGGGTTACGACAGCTACCCCGAACTAGTAAGGACCACATCATCCCTCTTCTCCTCTCTTCCCTCCTCTCCTCCTCCTCTGTCCTCCATCCCTTCTCCCCCCCTACTTTCTGAGCTGGCGAGCAGGGGGGAAAGCTCACAGGGGCTGAGAGAAGTGGAGAGCTCAGGGAAAGATATAGAAAGAGAGAGAGAAAGAGATCGCAACTGTTCGGGCGGAATGTCCGTCCAGGCGCGTGGGGGACTAGCGCCCGCCGCGCCCACCTCTTGTCGCGGGAGGTTCTGCTAGTGCGAAGCAGAACTGTTTTTTTTTCTCATCCCCCTGGCGCGGTCTGTGAAGACCACGACTGGAAAACAAAGACGGGATGTGGTGATAAGGGCGAGACGCGCCCCTTCTTTACACCCGTGAGCAGAGAGGCACTGGCTTCACACACGCTTTGGCATGCGTGATCCAGTGCCCTCGACAGAATGCGCCACCTTGGGGCATCGCTCGGACGTGTGCATTTTCTCGGCGAGGGCCATCGAGAAGCATCTTGGATCATCGTGCGAAAAATGGTTTCACGAGACCGAAACGTGCACGGGGAAGGATGTCAGAGCGATGGCCAGTGGTGTGCTATCGGTGAGCATCGAGGCGCGCCTGGTGGCACCTTGGTAGAGGCCCCGAGGCGAGGAGGGGTTCGGGCCTGATGAAGATCGATACAGGCGGTCTGTGCTCTTTGGGATCTGTCAAGACGGCTTGGCATCGCTCGGACGTGCTTAATTTTCTTGACGGGTACCATCGAGGAGCATTTCGGGTCATCTGGCGAAACAAATACGCGCACGAACCGAACAATGCACGGGGAATGAACGTCCGACCGATGGCGAGCCGTTGGGATCTGTCAAGACGAGGTCCTGAGTGTTCCTGGGTGCTTCACAGCTTATGACGAATGCTGGTAGCACACTGACTGATGCATCGTCGTGATGCTGGTATATAGTACGGTCGGTCCCGCGGTCAGGGTCGGCAGACTGACTGGCGGCCGTGAGGCGCTGTGTGGCGCGCCTTCACTCGGTGGCCTGCACTGGAGTCAGTCGGATGCCTTCAACCTAGTACGTGATGCTGGGGCCGCGAGGCCGTGGTGCCTTCACTCTGGTCTCATCGCCTGCAGTTGGTTAGGCTGTGCTGGCTGTGCCGACCGCACCTGGTGGCGGGTGGCTGGGCTGCCTCGGCGTGAGCCGAACACGTTCTTTGGCTGCCTCGTCCTCGCCTGGTGGCGGGTGGCCAGCAGGTCGGCTTGGTGCTTGGCCTCACTCGGTCGGCCTGGTGGAGTGCGTTGCGCTGAGGGCCTGGGTGGGCGGCGGCACTGTCCAGCCCATGGGGCTGTGGCGACCACACTCGTCCTCCTCTGAGATCCGGCGTGGCGAGGAACAAATGCAGCATCGTAAAAACAAAAAATACGCCCGGCTCCCTAGACCCTATCTTTCTGCGTCATTTTTCGAGCCAGATAGATCTGTGAGGGTCCCGGGGCCCGAAGAAAAGCGAACACCCCTGGCTCGACAAAGTTGAGATGCCAGTATCTCAGGTTCCCAGAGGCCCGGCCCCTGACACGACACCACCCCCACGCAGGTCTTCACGTCGTCCACATGCGCCTAGGTCGGGGGCGGGGCGGTCGCCCACCCCAGAGGCGTAGTCGCCGTGTGCCTTCCAGGCGGCGGGAGGGGTCAGGGGAGAGATCGGTAGGGGATGAACTACGAGCCGCGTGGTCGAACCCCCGTGTAACCTGCGGTATGATCGGCCCGATGCCTGGGTCAGGTGCAGCCTAACCGACCCCTACCAAACCATCCCCTTCCGTGACGTCCCCCTCGCCTCGCCCCAAGACGTAAGCATGCGGCCAGAGGGGAACTCGAAAGGCAAGGATGACGTCACGGAAGGGGATGGTTTGCTAGTGGTCGGTTAGGCCGCGCCCGATTGGGGCGGGTTCTGGTGGTTCCCCGCGTCCAGGGGCGTCCTGCGCCGTCCCGTCGTCTTCTCGCCGTGGTGGTGCACGGCATGCCGTGCAGACGCATTGCTCCACGTGCCGAACCGTCCCACGCTCGTTTCGCTCGTGGGTGTCCGACTACTGGTCGTGCAGGAGGCTGCTCGAGGTCGTGCTGCGCGTAGCACTGCTCGTCGCAGTGGTGGGTGCGAGGCTTCTGGTGCCCATGTGCGCAAGCCCTGGTGGGCTGGCCCTCGACCCCGTTGCACTGCCCTCCGCACTCGTAGGAGTCGAGATGTTGGTGCTGGCTCCTGTCTGGCTGTGCGACGCTGTGGTGCTCCGCCCTCTGGCGCTGCTCGGTGTCAAAGTGCTGGTGGCCGCCGTGCTGCTAAGACATGTGATAGTACTGGACCCCACCATATTGCCCAACGTGGTGGTACTCAGCTTTGTCTCGTTGCTCAGGGTCGAAGTGCTGGTCGCAGCCGTACTACTGAAAGACGTGATCTTCGATGGCCGCTCATCTTACTCGCAGGTGCGAGGCTGTTGGGGCTGGATCCCGTCGTGATGCTCGACATCGTAGCGGTCGACATCGTCATGCTACGCGTTGTCGTTGTGGTCCCGGACGTGCTGCTGGAAGGCATAATTACAGGTTGCTCTCATCTTACTCGTAGATGTGGGGCTGCTGATGCTGTATCCCGCCTTGATGTTCGACGCCGTGGTGCTTGGTCCCACCGCTGTGCTTAGTGTCTCGGTGCTGGTCCCTGCCTTGCTACTGGGGGCGTAGTACTTGCTGCACTGCTCGTCCCCGTCGTAAGTGCAAGGCTGCTGCTACTGAATCGCATCGTAATGCTCAGCGTCGTGGCGCTCAGCTCCATCACGTTGCGCAGTGTCGAGGTGCTGGTCACCGTCGAGCTGCTGTAAGCGTGGTGTCGAATCTCGTAGGCTTGAGGCTGCTGATGCAGTAGTCTGTGACTGTGCACGTCGTGATATCGCTCGCCTCCGTCGTGCTGCGCTGTGACCCGGAGCTGGTCCCAAACGTTGTGCTCGAAGAGATGTTTGGACGTGCTGCTGGGAGGCGAGATGTTCGTTGCCCTGCTCGTCTTACACGTGAGGCCTCTGCTGCCGGGTCTTGTCTTGGTGCGCAGCGTCATGATGATTGGTCTCGCCTCGCAGCTCCGTGCCGAGGTGCTGATTCCTGGCCTGCTGCTGACAGACGTGGTGGTCGCATTACTGGTGATCTCTTTCGTGGATGTGGGGCTATTGGTCCAGGATCCCGTCGTATTGCGCAGCGTCGTGGTGCTCAGATCCGTCGAGTTTCTCGGTGTCGAGGCGGGCATGATGTTCTGGTCACTGCTCGTCCCACTCGGCGTGAGGCTGCTTATGTTGGATCCCGTAGCACTGCACGTCGTGGAGGTTCTCGACTCCGTCGCACCACACTGTGTCCCAGTCGCGTAGGTGCAGCTGGTGGACGTGCTGTTCGTAGCACTGCTCATCGCACTCGTGAGTGTGAAGCTACTCTTGCCCATGCGCGCGAGCCCTGGTGGGCTGGCCATGGACCTCATTGCGCTGCTCGTCACACTCGTGATCGTGAGGGTGTTGGTGCTGGCTCCCGTCGTACTGTTCGACGCTGTGGTGCACCACCTTCTCGCGCCGCTCGGTGCCGAGGCGCTGATGACAGACGTGCTGTAGCAGGTGATGCTGGGTCCCGCCATGATGCCGACGTCGTGGTACTCAGCTCCGTCGCATTGCTGAGGGTTGGGGTACTGGTTGCAGACGTGCTGCTGGAAGACGTGGTGATCGACGCACCGCTCGCCTTACTCGTAGGAGTGAAATGGTTGGAGCTGTACCCTGTCGTACACGACGTCGGATTGCTCGATAGCATCGTGTAGTGCGTTGTCACGATGGTTCCGGGCGTGGTGCTCCAAGCCCTGATGCTCGTTGCATTGCTCGTCTCGCTCGTAGATGTGAGGTTATTGGTGCTGGATCCCGCCTTGATGTGCAACGTCGTAAGTCATGATGCTGTAGTACTTCGCAGAGTCGAGGCGGTGGTCCCTAACTCGCTGCTCGACGTCGTGGTGCTCGTCGCCCTGCTCGTCTCACTTGTAACTGTGAGGCTGTTGGTGCTGGATCCCGTCGTGCTGCCCCTCGCTTTTGTGCTCAAATCCGTCGCGTTCCCTGGCGTCCAGGCGCTGTTCACAGCCGTGCTGCTGAAGGACGTGAACTGGACTGTTCTTCTCTCTCGTCAGTGTGAGTCCGCTGGGACTGAAACTCGTCGTGCTGCTAGATTTCGTGGTGCTCGATTGCGTCGTTCTGCATGGTGTCACGATGGTCGCAGACGTGCCGCTCGGGGACGTGGTTGCTCATTTCACTACTCGTCTCACTCTTGGATGTGCGGCTGTTGGTACTGGATCTCGTTTCAGTGAGCAACGTCGTAGTTCTTGATCCCGTCGCACTGTACAGTGCCGAGGTGTTGGTCCCTGACATGTTGCTTCAAGACGTGATGCTCGTTGCTCTGCTCGTTTGGCTCGCAAGAGTGAGGCCTCTGGTGCTTGAGTCCGTCGTGCTGGGCGGCGTGTGCGGGGCCTCCTCAGCGTCACCCTGCAGGATACCGCCAGAGGCAGCGTCTTGACCCTTGGTCCCTTCGTACTGCTCTTGTCCGCCAGCCCTGGTATGCTGTTCGCGAGCATGAGGGCGAGGGCGGGGGCAAAGAGTGCGAGGGAGAAGTGCCATTGAGCGCCCGGGGGCAGCTTGTGCCGATATGCGCCCAAGCGGAGCTTGCCAGGCGCTCCCTCTGCCCCCAGGTGTGCGTGGGCCCTCTCGGTGCGACGGCTGGCATCGGAGGTGTGAGCTCAGGCCCTGGCACAGGCTTCCGCATGTGTGCAGGCGGGGCTGGCGTCTCCGCCGTAGATCTCGCCGTCGCCAGGTCCGACGTCTCTGCTGACCTGGGCCCAGCCGTTGGCACAGTGTCACCCCTCGCCGGCCGCTGCGGGGAACGAGGGATCCAACTGGACGCGAGCAGGACAATGACGGTGCCGTGCTGGCTGCCAATTCGGTTCTTCATCTGGTTGGTGACCGTTACCTCGGTGCCTGCCTCGATGGGCGAAGGGTCAGGCGGCAAGACGAGGCCCGTTGTGTCGGGCAGCGCTTATGGTAGGTTCGCGCCGTGTCGACCGGCGGCGACCCCGCCGCGGGCGTTCAACGTTGAACGCCGCCGGCGACCCTGAATCGGTCGGTGTTGAACGATCTTACGTTTCGGAAGCGGCCGATCGTTCAAGGTTGAACGATCCGCACGGTGTCAAGAACCAACACCGGGGTCGACACGACACGAACCTTCAGTAAGCTCTGGTGGACCTTGCGTTCGCCCTGGTGGGCCCAGGCTCGGTCCCGAGATCGGGCGACCATGCCCCCGCGCTGCCTGGCACTCTGTTCGGCAGGTCCGCCTCGACGCATAGATCCCTGACGTAATCCGAGTCGTCAGCTTGCGTGAGTGCTGTCGTGGGAGCTGGTGGCGTGGAAGGTGGTGCTGTCAGTGGCGTTCGCCGTGCCGTGGGTGTCACTGAGGCCTCGCCTGGATTCGCCCTGGGCTCCACCCTGGTGGGTTTACTCATGGAGTTTGGCGGTGGCTGCAGCGGACGAGTCCAGGGTTCTCCGGTGGCGGTTACCCCTCCCAGGAAACCGCTGGGAAATGACGACGGAGTCGCAAGGGCCCTCGGTCTGTGTTTTGGCCCCGCTGGTGTGTTGGTGGATGAGATCCCGCGATCGGCTCCGTGAAACAGCGGCGCGATCGGGACGTCTCAGTTTGGTGCCTTTGCTCTAGTGGTCGTTGGCTGCGGCCGTGGGCCCGGCTGAGTCACGGCTGGTGCCCGTCTTGTGCTTCAGGGGGCGCTGCAGCTTGTTGTAGTTGCTCATGTTTCCCCCGCGCAATTTAATCGATTTGCTCCTGAGCTGACGCTGGTCGGAACGGTGTTGACGGTAGATGCTGCCACGATCGACTTGATGGTTCTGATCAATTTCGTGGTAAGCAGCGGCTTCTTGGTCGACGACATCACTGCTGCTCTGGTGCAGCGACGCAGGCATGCTTCCAGAGAGGGGGAGTTCGAGAGATGGAAGATCGAGAGAGAGGGAGAGATGGATATAGAGAGAGAGAGAGAGGGAGATCGAGAGGAAGAGAGGGATGGCACCCTGTAGATCGGGAGACGGGTGTCTGGTAGCTGGATACGGAGAGAAGAGAGAGAGAGAGAGAGATACCATCTATATATCTAGGTATACATTTAAATAGAACAAGTCAGCGCGATAGATATATATATATATATAGAGAGAGAGAGAGAGAGAGAGAGAGAGAGAGAGACAGGGACAGTGATTGGACGGGATACATATATACATATATATATATATATATATATATATATACATCGAGCCCGAATTGTGTGCTGGCCAGGATCGGGCTCAATGGAGCCCCGACTCTCGAGGCCGTGGAGGCCATAGTCATGGCGTTCCACATGTATAACGCTGCACGTGTCTCGCTTCCGCCGTCGCTCCATCAAGAGGAGTGGACTGGTCATCTGTACGAAATTCGACGAGCAGCAGTGGCCCTCGTGGAGTTGACTAGAGTGCCCGCGTAGGCCTCGGAAGGACCCTAGTGGCGCCCCTCAGGTACGAGCGATATATATATATATATATATATATATATATATCGAGAGAGAGAGAGCGATAGAAAAGAGAGAGAGAGAGAGAGAATAGAGAGAGCGAGAGAGAGAGATAGAGAGAGAGAGAGAGAGAGAGACAGAGAGACGGAGAGCAGGACGGCCGGGAGGGCTGGCTTCTCCTGTAGAGACAAGGGGGGCTAGAGAGCCGATGGAGGGCCGAGACAGCCAGGGAGTTGGAGATCCCCCCTCGAGGCGGGCGACATGGTGCGGGTGGAGAAGTACCTTGTCCAGATGGCGGCGGGGGGGGCGCGCCCCTTGGCGCGCGAGCCGCGGGGACTCCCAGCGGACCCCCCCCTGGGTCCCTCTTGGCGCGGCCCTCTGCAACAAGGGGTGTAGGGGAGGGAGGGAGGGAGGGAGGGAAGGGGGAGGGAGGTGGAGGAGGAGGAGGAGGAGGATGAGGAGGACGAAGGGAGCATCGAGGTGGGAGATATGAGGCGGGAGGGGTGAGAAAGGACGGAGGGTCGTCCTCCCCAAAACGGGGAAGGGAGGAGGGCAGATGATGCTGCTGATGATGCTGCTGATGCTGATACTGGCGATGCGGATGATGATGATGATGATGCTGATGATGATGATGATGATGATGATGATGATGCTGATGCTGATGATGATGATGATGATGATGATGATGATGATGATGATGATGCTGATGATGATGATGATGATGATGATGATGATGATGCGATGATGATGATGATGATGATGATGATGATGATGATGATGATGATGCTGATGATGCTGATGATGCTGATGATGATGATGATGATGACGATGATGGCGATGATGATGATGCTGATGCTGATGCTGATGCTGATGATGATGATGCTGATAATGTTGATGATGATGATGAGGATGATGAGGATGATGCTGATGATGATGCTGATGCTGATGCTGATGCTGACGCTGATGATCATGATGCTACGTATGCTGCTGATGATGCTGATCCTGCTGCTGATGATATATACTGGTGATGATTATGATGCTGCTGCTGCTGATGCTGATGATGCTGATGACGCCAATGATTGTGATACTGTTGATGTTGATGATGCTGCTGATGCTGATTATGATGATGATGGTGCTGCCTCTTCTGCTGCTGATGATGACGACGCTGGTGATGATGACACTGAGGATGAAGCTGGTGCTGCTGCTGATGTTGATAAGATGCTTATGCTGATTATGATGATGCTGATACTGATGCTGTTTAGGATGATGATGCTGATGATGATTATGATGACGATGATGCTGATACTGATGATGCTGATGATGCAGATGCTGATGCCGATGCTGATGACGATGATGCGGATGCTGCTGCTGCTGATGATGATGTGGGTGGGAACATGAGGATAGTGGTGGTGGTGTTGGTTATGCTGTGGACGATGATGAGTATGATGAGGATGGTTTTGTTGATGATGCTGATGATGGTAAAGAAGCTGCTGATGATACCACGCTGATTATGATGATAGTGGAGATGTTGCTGGAGATGCTGCTGTTGATTATTATTATGCTGCTTCGGCTGCTGATGGTTGCGACGATGATAATGATGCTGATGCCGAAGCTGGTGCTGATGCTGATGACGATGAATATGATGATGCTGATGTTGATGATGATGCTGATGTTGCTGATAAGGATGAGGGTGGTGTTGGTGGTGTTGATGATGATGATTACTCTGCTGCTGCTGACAATGATGCTGACGATGATGATTGTGGTGGTGGTGGTGATGATACAGATGATGCTGCTGCTGCTGATGATGATGATGATGCTGAGGGTGGTGGTGGTGGTGCTGGTGGTGGTGATGATGATGATGATGATGATGATGATGATGATGATGATGATGATGATGATGGTTATGCCGACGAGTACGATAAGGCGGAGGAGGAGGAAGACCGAGCAGAAGAGCGTTGACGTTTTTTAGGCTGGTCTGTTCGAGAGGCCTTGGCGATACGGATGGAGCCGCCTGGAACTCCCTGTCACAGAGGTCCCGATGCTTGTTTTGAGGAAGCGGAGGAAGAGGAAGCTGAGGAAGAGGAAGAGGAAGAGGATGATGATGAATAACAGGTCGAGGACATTGTGGAGTATTTGGCTGCCACGTGGGCGGTAGCGCCGACGGCGGTTGCCCTTTTTCATGAAGGAGGAAGAGGGGGGCAGTAGGATTCGATGTATGGGTCCATAGAGCTTTGTGGCAAAGAGGCCTTGCGCAGCGCGCTGAGTTAAAGAGTCCTCTGTGCACAGTTTTTTGCGGACGCCATTGTCGCTCTTGTCGGAACGCCTCAGTTACTGTGCAGTTCTTCAGGCAATGATGTGCTGATGCCTACCATAGGTCCGACACAGTGCTCATTCAATGGTGGTCATTCACGCGAGGTCTCCGACAGCAGCCAGCCATGCTAAGTCAGCGCAGCGTGCCCTAATCAGACTCAGTCGACCACTTGCTCGTCACAGAAAACGGTAACTCGTTCCTGAAGTGCGCGTGGTTCTTCTGGCCTCCTGTTCTGAATCATGGTGAGGACGATGATAATCAGCAGCGTGAGGGTCATCTCTGTGCCGCCCTCGCGCAAGAGAAGGTTTCTGCGGCGAGCGAGGGGGAGAAGGGAGAAGGAGAAGGCCTTTTCATGAGGCGGCGGGGCTTCTCAGAACTCAGAAGCCCTCAGAACTTCTGATCAGTTCTCTGCGTTTCCGGGGAAGGCTCAGAAGACCTCCTGCGAAGGTCCAGGGACTGCCGAGCCTCCTGCGACGGCCTGCCCCATCTCGCCTCCCCCCCGGGGCTCGCCGCCGACGGTTGTCTCACCACGATGTTTCCCCCCCTGAGCCAGTCCCACTTGAGCGCCGCAAAGAACAGGGTCGTTCGCGTCGACATTGGCGCGTAAGCTGCCCGCGTAAGCTCGCGCGCGAGCGCCGCGCTGGGGGCCCGCGGAAGCCGTGGCGTGAGGTGGCCGCGCCATCTCGCGTGAGACCCGTTTTTGATCGTTGCCCAGATGGCGTCTTCTTTCACGTGCTCTTAAAGGGTACGGCCTACACGCAAACATTCGGAGCTCCTCTCGGATTCATTGGATCTGCGCCTGGGCCCACTGGCGGCGCCTCTTGCTGTGCGGAGCTCCAGAAGTTGATGCACATGTATCGGCGGCGAGCGAGGGGGGAAGTGAGAAGGATACGGCTTTTTCCGAAGGCGGCGGCACTTCTTTGAAGACCTCGCGCCTTCTGATCAGTTTTCTGTGTCTTCGGGGAAGGCTTAAAACATTTCTCAGACGTTCGGAGGACGTCCAAGCCTTCTGAGAAAGCCCGCCCGTTCTCACTTCCCCCCGGGCTCGCCGCCGAATGTATGTTTTTGTGCTCTTGTTCTGCCTTCTCCCCCCGCGCTGTGAAGTGTGTCAGTCTGCCGCCGCGCGTTGCACCGCCCTCCCCCGCGGATTCTGCCGCGGGCGGACGAGCGGTTGGAGGAGAGCGCTTCGCGCCGACCGTCACAGGGAGCGGTCGGCGCGTCTGCGCTTCTCCCATCATGCGCATTGGGGTGAACAATGGCTGCTCTGGTGCCGCAGTGAGTGTGGGCTGTGCGCTAACCAGAGGCCCGCGAAATTGAGTGGACCCCCGTCGGAGGAGGATCCCCCAAAGGTTTGGAGACCCTCGCGAGGCTCCGAAACGGTCTGTCTCCCCGCCGTGAAGGTCCCCCGAAAGCAAAAAGAGACGCCCTTCAGGCGAGAGATGCTGCACCGTGCCAGGCAACACGTTTTCAAAGGCGGGCCCGTGAAGCGGCACCTGCTGGAGGGACCCCGCCCAGCCTGACCAGGATTCCCAAGGATTGAGGGCTGGGCCCAATGAGGCCCATCCAGCTAGTCCTCGTGCTTCCTTTTCCTCCTCCTCCTCCCGTCCTCCTCCTCCTCCTCCTCCCTTCTCCTCCTCCCTCCTCCCATCCTCCTCCTCCTCTCCCTTCTCCTCCTCTTCCTCCTCCTCCTCCTCCTCCTCTTCCTCCTCCTCCCTCCTCCTCCCTCCTCCTGTACTGCAGCATCGCCGATGCGTCCTGGGTTTACTCTGCTCCTCCTCGTTGTCCTCGTCCTCTTCCTTTCACTCCCCTCCCGCCTTCGGGGCAGAACCGCTTCGCCCCGGACCGCGTCGGCCCAGGCCACTGCTCCAGGCCTCCCTGGTGGGGTCGGAGCAGGGTGGGTCGGAGGATCGCGTCACATCGCCGAGGCATCGGCGATCCAGCGCGATGTGGAGCCCGATGTTCTCCATACCTACGTCGCCGATGCTTCCTCCACATCGACGATGCCGATGATTCCGGTGATGCGTCGACGATGCGGCGCGATCATCCGACCCCATCTACTCGTCCCCCATTTGGGAGGCTTTTATCCCAGGATCGAGGTTCGAAGGTTTCAGATGCTTTCGTACGTGTCTGCAGGATTCCCGGCCTCGGGATGCTCTCCTGCAGCTGCCCCTTGCCGAGGGCACTCCAAGGGTGCCCAGGCCATCGTCCCGAATGGCCGCCTGAGGCCCGCGTTGTGGCCCGAAAGCCAATTGACCCATAAACTTGGCATCGCTCGGCGCGCGCCATCGAGAAACACATCCTGGATCATCCTGGGGAGTGGGCGTCCAGGGGGAGACGGGAGACTGGTCCCCGAAGCAAGCGGCCCGCCTGTGGGAGGCTTCTCGCTGCGGCGCGCAGCGGCGCGCAGCGGCTCTCTCTCTCTCTCTCTGGCGAGGCGGCCTCGTGCCCTCTGTCCTGCCCCAGAAGGGGCGCTCGCCCGTTGGCGGTTCGCCGCGGGGGGTCTCTTGCCCTATCCTCGTCGGCCCCCCCCTCCCCGCTTCCCCCCGGCTCCTCGAGGAGCGAAGGGGGGGGGGGGCGAGGGGGCACCGTTGGGGGGGAGCCGAGGGGGAAGCCGAGGCCTCCCCCCCCCAAAAAAAAAGACTCTTACCTAACCATTTCGCTGTCTGCTTCGCCCCCTGGAGGGTCGAGGCCCATTCCATAAGCGAGAGCTCGACGAGAGCTTCAAACCGGCGGTACTGATGCGCCGATCGGCCTTCTGTGGGCTACGTTCCACGGCGTCTTCGGACTCCTCCGGGCCGATTCGATTCGATTTTCTTTGGTTCCGATTCGATCCGACTCGATGCGAACATTCCGTTTCACGATTCCGATTTCGAGTTCGCCCGATCCGATTCTTGTTGATTTCGATTTGGCAGCCGACTTCTGCCGATTTCTTCCGATCCTGCGTAGCTCCGGCGTCGTCGTCCCCTTCCCTCTCCCTCCTTCGTCT